TGGCACAGAGCCAGACCCCCCCTCCCTTTTGCATTGCCTGAAGCAAAGCTCAAGATCAACAGCACAAAAATCTGGCCCTGCTGTTGTTTTTCTCCTTCTTTTGTGTGCCTTTAGGGCTGAAACGATGCATGGGAGTCAGGCGAAGTCCCATAAGAGTGCAGAGACCACTTGACACCCCCCCACCACGCCCCCAGGCTGGGCAAAGCAAGTCTTGTGTTCCCTTCGGGATTCTGCAAGGGGCGCTTGAGAAGCAAAACAAACCCAGTGAAAAGGTGTGTATGCAAATACTGCTTCTAATCGGTACAAACAAAATGGAGTGATTAATTCCAGTCACAACATTGCAACACCTGGGTGCTTTGTTGCTTTTCTCAAGCCTTGCTACTTCACAGCCCCTGTTATCACGAGGAGCTGAATCCTGCCTTGCCTTGGACCCACCAAAGCCCACCTGGCCATTGTCGGGGTCTTGCTGGTCTTGCAGAGCTGCCAGGTGAGCTCCAGGCGGCAACGCAGGAAGCAGGCAGAGGCTGCCCTGGCAAGGAAGCTGCAGATAAACAAGACCCTCAGCAGTTATATAATGAGGCAATGACGTCTCTACTTCTTGAACACAATGTTCAGAAACAGCCTTATCTGCAAACCGCAGGACAGCCGTAGAGAAGGGAGCGAGCAATTAGGAGGCTGCCGAGGCAGAAAACAGCTGGCTCAGTTCTGCTGGCTCCTCCCCAGCGGGCTGGAGGTTAGCGCCATAAGCTTTTGGCTTCCACAGCAGCCCTGCAGACGGGGTGCAAGCCCGTAAAACAGCCACTGCTGGGCATCGGCTGCTTCCTTGACGGCCAGGCCAAGCCCCAGCGGGGAGCCCTGCACGGGGGAGGGGGGGGGATTAAGGGCCGGCCTCCCTTCATCTCTCCCACTCCCATTCTGCCCCGGACCCAGCTCCATGGGAAGAAAGGCCTTCCTGAGGGTTGGCGCTGGGGTGGGTGGCCTTCCTTGGGGGACTGGCAAGCAAGGGGAGGCTCTCAGAGAGCCGAGCCACTGGCTTCCGAGGGCTAGCTGGGAGGAGAAAGTGGGGAGGCTGCACCCCAAGGCGGCTCTGGGCAGGATCCCTCCCTTAAAGCAGCCGATTACTCTCCTTTGTCTTCCAGGCAGAAGGAAAACAGCATCCCTGAGCCAGAATCGCCCAGGGTCGCTGCGGCTAAGCTAACATTGGAGCCTCGGTGCCTTTAAAAAAAAAAAAAAAATCTACTGCTTGTGACTTTGTTATTCTAGCTTGCTATTCCTGCCCGCCCCATGGCAGAGTAAAATATTTGGGGAAATGAATCAGCCGCGTTCTTGACAGCTGTTCACACGCTCCAAAACTTGAAGATTTCTGGGGCTAAAGAAAAAAAAATTCTCCACCCCTCCGGCCAAATCCCAAACTCCTCTCCAGCCTCCAAGTGTCTCACAAAGGAACCTTGCTAAATTTATTTGGGGGGGGAGGTGGGGGTCAGAGGGAAGACCCCAGACATTGGTGAAGCCACTTTTTCCACCTCCAGGCTGCCCGTCAGACCCAGCTGCAGACGGCTGCCCAGCAGGGTCAACCTGGGAATCCCCTGCCCAGCCGCAGGAGAGGGAGGGCTGCCACCTGCTGGCCACCTTCCTTACCCCCCCCCCCCCCGAGGGGCTCCTTCTTCTACAACTCTGCTGATGGTGCAGCAGGGACTTTGAGTGGCTGGGCATGGAGAGAAATACACACGCACCTCCCCCTTTCCTCTCTGCAGCCTTGTGTTCCTGCAGTCTTTGTTTGGCAACGCATTTTGAAGTGTGCAGACATCAGGCTGAGTAAACAGCCTCTTCTCATTCTGTTTATTTGCAGATCCAATGCATCATAACTTATGTAAGTTATTCCACTTGGCAGGCTGTCAGGGGCAAGATTGGCACAAAGATTCATGACCTCTTTCTTAGCAATAACAAAGAGTCTCTCATTGTTAAAGACGATCAGATTTAAAGTCCCAAAAGTGAAAATCTGTTTTGTCTGTGAAAAGGGAGGCCTCAGAAGATGGTGGGGGGGGGGGGCAGATTGCTTTTGCCAAGGGGGCCACCTGGAATGAGGTGCAGCTGCTGGTGCCCAGTTGGTGGCTCTTCTCTGACTGGGACCTCTGCAGCTGACAGCAAGCGGTGTCCACTCTGGGGCCTCCCTGGCTGGAAAAGAGGGCTATTTGGTGGCTGTTCTGGAGGGGGCATTTGCATCCCGCCTCCTCCCTGAGCAATCACCCTTCAGCACCACCTCTTTTGCCTGTTTGGTGAGAGCAGCGGCAGCACCAAAACAAAGGACTTGCCAGCAGCAGATGAGAACAAGAAGTCCTCCATGCTAATAAGGGACGGGTTGCATAACGGCTCCTTGGAAGCAGCTCCGTGCCAGGATTGCAGCAGCCTCTGGATGACACCCGGGGTGGGGTGGGGTAGGCGCTCCCCAGCCTGCAGGCTTTCTGAACCCAGCCAAGGCAGGCATGCAACTCCCTCTCTCCCTCAACCCCCCCACCCCCCAAGTGGATTGCCACTGCGTCAGGCACAAAGGCCATTCGGGTCAGCTCAAGCACCCACGAGAGCTCCAGGGGCCTCAAATGGCCCCGGGCGGAGGCTCCAGGGTGCTGGTCCCTGGTCACCCAGCCCTGCGCACAGAAGAATATCCCCTTTCTGCAGAATGCCTGAGTGGGTGGGGTGGGGGGCAGCAGGGCAGCCCCCTGGTCAGACCGTGCAATTTCAGAGGTTTATTTTCTCCTCTGCACTGTCTGTGGCCTGACCTTCTGAGCTGAGGGGCGTGTCAGGGTTACCTGAGGAAGGTGTAGAAATGTGTCTCCTTAACCTGGTCCCGAACACAGGGAAGCGATGCTGAGGAAAGCACCCCAGGGGCTGCCATTCCCTTGCCAACCCTCTCCAATGTGAACGGGCACTTTTGTGCCAAGACGTGGAATTTGCCCAATTGGCAATTTCCAAACCGCAAGGCAGGCGGAATGCAGGGGGCTTTTATGTAACCTCTTGTAACGGGACGTGGTCTGTGAGACAAGCCAAGGCTGCAAGCCTGGACCTTGGGAGGGTGCTCCCCCCCCCCCCCCCCAGAGTCTTCTTACATAACAGTGTGGAGCTGAGAACATTTTTCTCTGTTGTCGTCAATTTGTTTTGTTCTTTGCTGAGATGCCCAACCCTCCCGCCCTCCACTTCCCCTATTTCTGCTTTCCCTGACGTCAGGGTGGGTCACGCCTCTATGCTCCCCAAAGCCTTGGGGAGCCCTGAAAGGACCAGAGCAGGAGGAAGTGGCGGAGCAGGGAAGGAACGCCTTGGTCTTGGCAGGTGGGGGGCTCCGGGCTGTGCGCATGGCGCCCCTTCTGCCAAAGGAGGACTCGTGCCCTACCTCCAGAGGTGCATTCGTTGTGCACCAACCCCTTTCGGGCTCTACCATCACCTCGGAGCAGGGGGGGCCCTGAGACTTAAGCAACCCTAAATCTCCTGCAGCCTTGGACGTGCCAAGCAAAGCTTCAGCCCATTTCAGGAAGGCCCCATGAGGGTGAGAGGCCGAGGGGCCCAAGGTCAAGAGATGCCCATTCTTTCCCCCCCCACCCAGAGGAGGCGGAGCTCTTCTTGTGCCCACTTCCATGCCGTGGGGAAGCTGCTAAGAAATGAGCCGCCTTGCCTGCTTGCTTCCCGGAGAGGGCTGGGTTGGCGAAGCAACCGGTATCAAACCGCCACAATTCAGAATTTGGTCTGAGGCTCTTAGACCACCTGTGAGGAGGAGCACTGGGTGGGCAGGTTGCTGAAATGGGTTCAGTCCCTGACTTTCATTTGAAACTCCTCTTTGGGGCCACATGATGTTCTGAACTGCCAAAAGAAAGACCCTTCCCCATGTATCCAGTACTTGACGTGACCATCACCCCCCCCCCGCATCTGCCAGAAGCCAGATGCTGGCAGCAGGTCTTCCTTGCAGGGGCTTCTGCAGGCAGGAGATCTTGCTTGGCTGCCAAGGAGCAGCCGAGCTGCTGCACCAGACAGCTGTGAAATAAGCCACCAAGGATGAGCCTTTTCTGAATGGGCGACAAGAGTTTTTGGCTTCCCAGGTCTGGTCTTGCAGTCTTCGGAGTCTTCCTGCTGGCTGGGAATGGTTCAGCTGCCTTCCCAAGTCTGCAGGCCGGGCTGGGAGTGAAGAGCATAATGCGTCCTGGGCCCTTGGCCCGGAGGAGGGGGGACACCAGGGAGCATCTGGAAACCCTCCTCCTGGGCTGCCACCATATTCGCAGGGCAAGAGTTCCCTCGTGTGGCAAACAGGCAGCAGCGTCCCCTGGCAGGCGGCCTCCAGCTCCAGGGGTCTGAGCATGAAACGGGGGTGGGGAGGCAGCTGCAGGACTCTCGGGGGAGCTGTGGATCGCTCGGCGCTCCTGCCTGAAGGCTGGGGCCATTGAGAGGAGCACCTGTCCCGGCCAAGATGGAGACCAAGCTAGGAACAGCAGAACACCTGTGGAGACCCCCATCTCCTCAATGAGGGGCTGGGAGGAGGCGGTGGCCCCTGACAGGGAGACGGCAACTATGGGGGAAATGTTGCCAGGTGCTCTTTGCGGGCCGTGAGCGGGGAGGGGCCGCAGAAAGCACTTGCTTGATGCGTGACACCCCCCCCCCCCCCCCCCAAAGTTGCTGCTTCCACCCTGGGCTGCTGACATCCCTCGCCTGCACGTCTGAAGGGGATTCCCTGGGCAGCTGCAGAGAAAGGTCCAGAGCGTCCTCTGAGCCCCCTCCCCCTCCCATGGGCCCATGATTTGGGCCCCTCCCTGGCCTTGCAGTTCAGGCCAGCTTGGGGAGGGGGGTGGGGCCGGCGGTGTCATAGTCATTCTTATGATGCAGGCTCCCCTGCCCCTCTGGCTTGACTTCAGCCATGCCCTGGAGGCCAAGGCCAGGCTGGTGGTGAGTATCCCCTGCTCCTGCCCCTCTCTTCCTCTGGCCATGGGTCAAGGGAGGGCAGAGGGCCTCGGGGGGGCAGCATGGAGCAGTATGAGCCCATCTTCAGCATCGGCCAGGGCTCCAGTGCCGAAGTCTTCCTGATGAGGAACGCCAGCACCAAGCAGCTCTTTGCCGTCAAGAAGGTCAAGGCGGTGCCCGGGAAGCGGCTGCGCAGCAAGGAGGCCATCCTGCGGGAAGTGGCCATCCTGCGGCAGCTGCAGCACCCCCATGTGGTGGCCTGCCACGGCCACTTCCTGGACACCGAGGAGGCGCATGTCTTCATCGTGCAGGAGTACTGCGACGGGGGCTCCCTCGACCAGCATATCCAGAAAGGGGGGCCCTTCCCCGAGAGCGTCATCATGCGGTGGTTCGTGCAGCTGGCCCTGGCGGTGCAGTACATCCATGCCCTGAGGATCTTGCACAGGGACATCAAGGCCTCCAACGTCTTCCTCACCCAGACCTGCGTCCTCAAGCTGGGGGATTTTGGCATCTCCAAGGTGATGGACGGCACCCTGGAACTAGCCAGCACCTTTGTGGGCACGCCCTATTACCTCAGCCCCGAGCTCTGCAGGGACCTGCCCTACAGCTCCAAGGCAGACATCTGGGCCCTGGGCTGCGTCCTCTACGAGATGTGTGCCTTGCAGCCGCCCTTCCAGGCCTTCAGCATGATCAGCCTGTTCCACAAGATTGTGAACTGCAGCCCCAGCCCCGTCCCAGCCAGCTACCCGGCCTCCCTGCACGGCCTCATCCAGAGCATCCTGCAGAAGGACCCCGAAGCCCGGCCCAGTGCCAGCACCATCCTCACCTTCCCCTACGTCCAGCAGCACCTCAGCCTTTACTTCCTCCACCGGGACCCTCGGCTGCCCCACCAGCTGCAGCCAGAAGCCCCTCCCAAAGGAGAGGGGGCTAAGCCCACCCTACCTGAGGCTGGCACAGAGGGGGCAACCGAGGCACCCAGCTCCGCCTGGCTCCCTGCTCTGCAGCACGGCTGGAACCTCGCAGACAGCCTAAGCGTCTGCAGCAGTGCTTCGCAATACTCGGCCGACTTTGAAGACACGAGCACTTCTTCCGTCGGCAGCAGCTCAGAGGCAGATCTGCCCATCAACACGGAGGCAATCGAGACCTGTAAGCCTTTTCGCCAGATACAAAGACCCCCAAAGTCTTCTGCCTTATAACCATGTGCTGAAAGGCTGTGCCTACATAGACTAGCACGGCTCACCTGCCTACTTTGCAGGAGGCACCCGGTGTGCCCTCGGTTGCCAAGCTCATTAAGTGTCATCGTGTGGGGGAGAACTCATAAAGCCTCTGGGGAATTGGGCGGTTTAGTGCAGCCTGGAGCAAACCATGAGGCGAGGAAGTCCCTCTAATCCAGGGGTGTCAAACTCCATTTCATTGAGGGCCACATCAGGGCTGTGTTTGACCTCAAGGGGCCGGGGGGGGGGCATGGCCAGCTTGACGGCAGTCGTGTCAGGGACGCCTGTGGCAGTCCGAGCACCCTGCCAGTGAGAACAGGCTCCCAGACTCGGTTTTCGGCCACGACGACCTCCTGCACCCTCTGCCAGAGAAAATGAAGCTAAGGAGGGCCACATGCGGTCCTCCCGAGCTGTTTTTGCTGGCAGAGGCACGGTGGGCCGGTCCTCGGCTGTTTACAGGGCGGCCCCGCAGGCCACATCAAAGCACCCAGCAGGCTGGATCCGGCCCGCAGGCCTCGAGTTTGACAGCCCTGCTCTAATCCAACAGCCCCAGCCAGCTTGTCAATAACGTGGGAGACCAAAGGCTGCTGTTTGGCATCCTTGGGGCATTTCTTAAAGAGAAAGCAAGCAGGGCACCAAGCCTACATACAGCCGCCTTCTTCTCCCCAGGCCCCCTAACGTTTGTTGGCACACCCCAACGCAGAGTGGCCAGCAGGAGCATGTTGAGTCCCTTACTGGACCAGGCCTTCCTGAAGCCTTAGGCACCCATCTGACTTTGCTCTTGGAAGCCGAGTCTTTCTCGAAAAGAGCCAAAGACTCTGGGCTGGAAACGGCTCCGGAGAACGAAGGACCATCTCAGCTCAGACCAACCCACTTCCCTTTCCTCTTGGCAGCTTCCGAGGACAACTGGGAGCCCCGGAACTTTGAGGACTCGGAGGAGGCGGCCCTGGCCGATGCGGTGGACACGCTTGAATGGGCCATGCAAGATAGTAAGTCCTCTTCGGCCCCTGGGAGCCTGCAGAAGCACCTGGGTGAGGCCGCTCTGTCCCACAGTGTCTATGGCTTCCTTCAGCTCCGCTTGCCTGACCCGCCCACTAAGGGGAGGCCTCCGAGCAGCCCCCCTTCCTCCGGCCATAGGGGCACCCCCAAGGCTTGCCCTGGCAGCAGCACGGAGCACGTTGCCATTTCTTCTGGGGTTTGCTTGGACCCTTTAGTCTGGCCTCCAACTCTGGCACGCTCCTATCCACCCAGGAATTAACCAGAGCCGAGCCAGCAAGCGCTAACCAGCACACAGCATTTTGAGTTAGCCTGGTAGGGTCACTGGTTAATTCAAGGTTGCAAGAATCCCTTGGCAACACCAGAACCCTTTGCTGCCAACTCAAGACATTCGGTTGCCCAAGGGGATCTTATTTGCCCCCACTGCTATTTTTCTGTTACCGCTGCAACCTCTGAAACCTTTTCCTTGCCAGCCCCTTTCCTCAGTTTGGCCTTCCTCTGCAAATTACCCCGTCCTCCTCACCTGGACCAGGTTGCTACTGCTGGCTTCAACAGGTGTCCCCCCGTCCGTCCGTCCCCTCCCCGAGAACAGTGGCTGACTGACTCACTGGTCCTCTTCTGATCCCGCACGCGGTGGCCAAAGGAAAGCGCCTGCCCCCTCCCACCCCGCGGAGGGTTCAGGTGGGGAGCTCAGCTGCCAATCACAAACCAAGCTTTTGGTGTCATTCCATTTTCAGATGACAGCGACTTTGGTGGAAGTGACTCCGGCAGCTTCACCTCCAAGGACTCAGAGCAGCTGTTATGTTTGGAAGACTCTGAGCACTCCGAGGTCGGCAGTTTCCTGCAAAGTCTAGATCTGGAACACGGCAAGGGGAACACCGGATGCAAACCAAAGCGACCGTAAGGGGCTGCAGCCGGCCCTGCTAACCCTGGAAATTGGTGAAGGCGGGATATTCCGGTGAACCTTCCCAAACCATCATCTGCAGCCCCCAAAGATCTCAGCGTAAAGGTTTTTGCAATGCAGGACCAGCCTAGTTGTTCTGTTCCCAGATTCAAATCCTTGTGCAGCCTGAACCACGATCCTTTTTGTAAAAAGATTTTATAAAGAACTGCCAGAAAGAGCTGACTCAGAAAACGTGCAAGACTTACTAAGGATAAAACCACCGCAATCTCTTCAGTAAGTGCCTCCTCTTCCTCATTCCTCCAATGCTTTTGGAATGTTCCCTTCACGCACACACACACACGTGTTCATAAAGTCTACACACTGAGCTTCCTGGCACATCCGGCTCTTTCTTTCAGGGACAGAGAAAACGGACTAAAAAGGCTCTACTGAGGGTGGCTTAGAGGAGCAATAATTCCCCCTAAGGGACAGAGATATTTAACTCACCTCTGCCGGAAGTGGCCACTAACCCAAGAGGAAGGAGAAGTGCAGAAGGCAGCCTGGCCTTAGGGCAGCCCCAAGGACTGAAGCCATGGGAAATCCCCTTCACCCCATGTCCTATTTTCTGCCTCAGAACGCACAAAGGCTCTAGGACAGCCAAGGCGAGAAAAGCCCAGAGAGAAGTATGGAAAAGGTTTATTTATCAAACCGGAAATCAATCTGGACGGGGCTTTGCCCAAACGCCTCGGGGGCTCAACCGCTGCTCTGTTTAGCTGCTAGCCGCTTGTCTCTCTCTTCAGCGATCGTCAGGCGGATTCCCTTTCCACGAGGCAAAGAGATCCAAGGCTTGTTACCCTGAAGTTTGAAAGGGAAATACGTTAGGGGAAAATACATTGCCACGCCATTACTGGGAATGCTAGAATCAAAACCTCCTATCTTTCCTCGGAACCATAATGATCTTTTGGGCCCAGCTGAAGGGATTCTAGATATTCCAGAATGCCAGGATCCACTTCCAGCTCTGCCAGATTTATCTCTGGAAAGCCACTTGACTACCCCCAGAACTGCCAGATCAGCAGGGGTCAGATCAGAAGTGGAGCTTGCAGTGCTTCTCGGATTAAGCAGCCTTAGCAAAGAAATAGAACTAAATTTGAGGGATACAATCTAACAAACCGAGAAAGCAAATTATTGATAGGGAAAAAAAATAAAGCTGGCAACTCTCACCAGATGGACTAATACTAGTTCTAGCCTAGAAGTTATCTAACGAATCACATTGGCCGTTAATGCTCCCATCTGTGAAAGCTCGTGCCCTAACTATTTGGATATTTAGGCTTTCATTTTCAAAGTTTTATGAGTTCTGATTTATTAAGAATTTGATAAATTATAAAATTCTTAATAAAAATTCAGAAATCATAAAATTATGATTGTATGATTTAAGAATGTATCCTTTTGCACAAGTTCCCTCTTGGCAGGTAGAAACCAAAACCACAGCTGCTCAACCAAGCGGGGAGGAGGATGGCAGATCAGGCCTCTTCCCCGCAAGTCAGGAGGGCCGACAGTGGCTCTTCTTGTTCACGTCTTGCCCGAGGAAGTTGCGATAAGTGCCTGGCCAGTTGTCTACCATGCACTGCAGAACCGCTGCCAGCAGCTTACCTTTCCAATCACAAAGATGTTGGACAGTCTGGTGGCAAAGCTATTGCCGTTAGCATCCTTAACATGAACCACATCAAATGAACCAGGATGCCTCTCCCGGTTGGTGATTACACCAATACGCCCCAAGTTAGCTCCTCCAGTCACCATGCACAAGTTGCCTGTAGGTGGAAAAGGAGACTAGTAAGAAGTTGCACCTACAGTCATCCTCCCACGTGTCTCAACTCAAAGGCTAAACCTTGGCCCCAGCATGGCCTTCAGGAAAACAGAAACTTTCCCACATCTAAGGAGCGGGGGTTCTGCTCTCCTTCAGGGCACAAACTACAACCCCTGAAAGGCTGACCACCCCACAAGTCACTTAAAAAACAAACCTGTGTCAAACTTGATGAAATCTGTAATCTTGCCTGTCTCCAAATCAATCTGAATAGTGTCATTCACTTTGATGAGGGGATCTGGGTACCGGATTGTTCGGGCATCGTGAGTGACAAGGTGAGGAATTCCTTTGGTGCCCACAAAGATCTTTCTAACCTTGCACAGCTTGTACTGGGAAGACAAACAGAGAATTACTTGGGCCAGGAATTCTTTGCGAGAAGGGGCTTCTGCCATTACAAAGCTTTTAAAAGGACAGCAGACACAGCCTTCCCTAGTGTTGATCTGCTGCCCAACTGCTGTTATGCCGGGAACCACACCCTGCTTAGAGCAGGGGAGGTGGCCTGAAGCCCACCAGATGCTTCAGACAATTCTCCCAATCCCTTTCCTTCAGGCAGCAGGCTAGAATTGATGGAGGATCTGGAGAGGATCAAGGAGCTTCCACTAATCCTTTGGGCTGGGGAGCAGGTCTGAAGAACAAGATTTTCACCATATTTGACTGTATTATCACAAACCCCCAACTTGTACCAGCATCACAACAAATCTCAGTCTACTCTGGGACTCAAGGCCTAGCATGAAAAACCATTTGTGAGGACGGTCCTACCCCCAGATCCTCTCAACATTCAGAGCAGGAAACGCACTCCAGGAAATGAAGGAATTTCCCCCCACCCATCTGCTACCCAGAAAGTTCAGAGGTCAATTTTAGTCACCACCCTCCAAAAACAGGACTTAAATAAGGCAACAACAATAATTAAGTTTATGAGCAACAAAGTCCCAGTTTCAGAGCATATTTATTCAGTTTCTTAGTCAAGGAACACAATTCCGTCTTTCCAATCCTGGCTGGCCAGCAGGCTTACCTTGGCTTCTTCTGGTGTGATGCGGTGAACAGCAAAGCGTCCCTTGGTATCGTACACGAGGCGGAAGTGCTCAGCTGTTTTTTCAATGCTGATCACATCTGATAAGAAGAATGCACGGGCCAAGGAATCAGCCAAAAACAAAGGCATCGGGAGACACACCCTTAGCTTCCAAGAGAGAAAGGAGGCTACACACATGACTTTGCCACTGCATGGTTTTGTCTTTGGATGTGTTGCTTCTTCTTCAGATCTCAGGGGAGATTCTGACTCTTCTGCGTGAAGAGTGAAACATGGCACACCTCAAAGGCAAAAGGCTGAGCAGCAAAGAGGCCAAAGAGAGTCAGAGCCCACCTGGAGGAAACTGGAAGCAAATGAGGGCAACTGCATAATGGAAATGGGCCAGGTTGGTTCCCTAACCACTTAACCAGAAACTGCCCTGGTTTACAGAAGTTGAGATCTAACAACTGAGGATACCCTAGGCTGGAGAAGGTGAGCTCGGTTATTTAATGCTGGATAAATTATTTCTCAGACTCTATGAAAGCATTTTATTAGAATTAGCACAACAGAACCGTTTCCTGGATGAGCAGCAACCTTATCAAAAGGTCACTTCTCCCCTTTCTAATCTACAGATTGCCTTCCACAGACCTGCATGAACTAACTTTCACTAACCCATGAATCCAGCCGGATAGGTAATATCTGTGCGGATTTTGCCATCAATCTTGATAAACCGTTGCATGCAGATTTTCTTGACCTCATCGCCAGTCAGGGCGTACTTAAGCCTATTCCTGAGAAAAATGATAAGTGGGAGGCATTCCCTCAGTTTGTGGGGTCCTGTGGATGGACGGGGTGCCTGTAAATACCAAGACAGTGGAAAGTCACACAAGAGCCACAATATTCCCGCAACATTCCCATTTCAAGAAAGCAGGAGCGAGCCATGAAACCTGCCACCATTTATATAGCTGAACCACAGCCCGACTTTCCCTCACCCCCTGGTATTCAAGACAGCACTCTGCCCCGGAGAAGTGCAAGAGGCCGAGTGTGCACGGCTGAGCCAACATCTCCCAGGGTGCTTCCTCCCCTCGTGGGTGTTGTTGCTATTCTTAGCCCCTCTGGCCATAGCATTATATTGGCCCTCCTGCCTGCCCAGGGCTGTTATGGCATCCCCCCTTCAGCACATAGGCGTCAAGGGAGCCACACCACAGAGATGCTCAGGAGCTCAAAGCCCAACACTCAGCAGGCTCTTTTCCTCCTCCACTCAGTGTGTGCCACGCTCACAAATTGTGGCATTGTTTTAACAAGAACGCGCCAAAGTTGTGGTCTGGAGCAAGAATACAGGAAAGACCCCTGTAGCTCAAAGCTTGGGAGCTCCAGCCGACCAAGCACGAGAGTCGAAGCGTTACAGGGCCGCGTTACAGGGAACTATCCCCCCACCCCACCCCCACCGCAAGCGTGCTTGAACGGCCGCGCTTACAAAGACTCCCGTCAGCTTGTCCAGCATCCAGTGCTTCGGAGCGGCCACCCGCTTCAGGTGCTTCTTGGGTCCACGAGCCTGCAAGAACCGCGCAAAGCAGCAGCTTGAGATGCGCCGCGGAGGCCAGATCGGCTAAGGCAAGCCAGCCCCTTCCAGATGCTCCGGGCCCCACCCCCGGGTTGCCCCCGGAACGGAGCTGCCGCGGCCCTGCCCGGAGCTTCTTCCGCGGCCGGCCTTCCTTGGGACCGGGGACCTTTCATGGGGTCCCGCCCGCAGCGGGAAGGGCGCTTGTTGCCAAAGAGCGGCCGCGCGGGGCTCTGCCGGGCGGCCGATCCTCCTGCCCCCAACCGGGGCGCTCGGCTCAGAGCAGGCCGACGGATGGCGAGGGATTCCGGGAGGTGCGAGCCAAGAGCCGCGTACTCACCATGGTCGCGTTCCCCCGAGAAAAGGCCGCACCTTCCACCCACGGCCGGATATCCGGCCTGAAGTACGGCGGCTCCGCGCGTCCAGAAAGTCTCGGAGGCGACAGCGAGCAGCTCCCCCAAGCGGCCACGATGGTTCTTACTCCGAGAGCAGATGCTCTCCATCACTTCCACCCGCCCTTGCTGCGCAGGTCCACACACCCTCCAAAGTCGGAGCACGCATGCGCGTGCGAAATGCAGTTGGAGAAGGGCGCTCTTTGTGGCCACTACTGACGACACATCTGGAACTTCAGTCCGCGGCGTCTCCTGCCCAGGCCACTGCTGCCAGGAATGGGGGGTGGGGGGACGGACAGCTGACTGCAGAGTCCGAAGGGACATCCAGGGAACCTGGCAACACTGGAGGACTGGGAAATGGAGAAGGGAAGCAAGAGGGAGATGCGTTGGGTTTTATAAATCATTACAATCTTGAGGCTCACTCTGCTTCGTGAAACCGGTGGGACTCATTGCCACAAGATGGAAAATGCTATTAGCAGCTTAGTCCAGGGGTGTCAAACTCGCATTGCCACGTGACATATCGCGACTTCCCCCGCTTTGCTAACTGGCCATGGCCGTGCCAGCACATGACGCATTTGGGCCATGAGTTTGACAGCCTTAGTCCAAGGAGAACGCAAGGAACACACACCAGGACAAGAAGCGGAGTTGTCCAGTTTTTTATTTCAAGGCAAACAGCTGTTTAAAAAGGATCCCCAGAGAGAGGGGAGGGGGGCTCATCTTGCTGTGCTCCTGCCCGTCTGAGAGGCCAGGGCCTTCCACTCCTTCCAGAATGAGCTTCCTCTGCAAGGGACAAGGCTGAAAGTTCTGGCTGGGTTGTGTGTGTTGGGGGGGGGGGGGGGGGCTTCCTTTAACTCCCTGTTGCTCCATGCGGCATAAACAAGTCCCGGGCCGCAGCCTGAGGGACTCCGATGCCCCCCTGGCATTTCAATGCAGTTTCTCTGCAGATTCTTCGACAGCTGCTCCCAGGTGCAGTGGCTCTGGAGAGAAGGGAGCCCTCTTTTCCACTAAGTCACATGTTTCAGGTGTCCTGCAAAGAGAGAACATGCCAAGCCCGTCTCCTCCTGGAGCCCTCAGGGCCCACCCTCTGATCGGCCTCCAAACTGGAGCAGAGAGGGCCCACCTTTCACACAGCCAAGGATCTCCTGAATCCGCTGAGGCTCATTCCTGTCTGGCCGGCAGCTGGGAGTGATTTCCAGCACGTAGTCAGGGCCGTATTCTGTGAAGAACTGCCCGAGAGGGAAGGGGAGGCTGAAGGGAAAAGGGGAGGAACCCTGGCGCCCCCGTCCCTCTCAGGCATATCCCAACAAGTCCTGGGGTTGCTCCATGAGGAGAGGAAGGCCTTTCCTCAGGAGCCAGCCTGGGGTCGCCTGTGCGTGCCTGGCAGCCCCGGGCCGGCCTCCCACTCTGCCCCTGCATTCCCAGCCCCGGCCTGAGCAGTGGTGAGTTCTTCCCAAGGTACGTCCTGCGTGTGCTGCTGCAGGGGTCTCCAGCCTTCTCGGCCACTGGAGGCTATTTTCACAGCCCTTTTCCTGAGCTTGAGCCTTACCTCGTGATCGGGGATTTCAGAGGGCAACGTCTTCCCCAGAATGACTCCAGTCAGGTATGTCCAGCAGCGGGCAGTGTTGGCAAGGTGGTAGCCTCCTGTCTCCAGGAGGGAAGAAGACACCGCACGACACAAGGAAGAGGGCAAAGGAGAAACAAAGGGAAAAGCACTTGCCCTGCCACTCCATTCTGGCCCCCGTTAGAAATGCACAAAGCACTGCCCAGCTGCAGAAGCCGGCCGGCTCAGTGGCACAGAAAAAAGACAAGCCACTTCACTGACCCAGCAGGAATCACTGTAGGCGATGCAAAACATTGCACTGGGGCCAATTCACTTTTAACTCTATGTAATCTTAAGAATTTGACTGTAAAAAGCAGAGTTTCCAGGCTGCCCCAAGTTGAAGCACCTCCCACTCTGAATGTCAGAACAAGCATTTCGTTCGGGGCTTAGAAACCGACTGTGATCAGCACATCCGGCCTTTGGGGCTCCGTCCCGATCTAAGTTTCCCTGCGCCTGCCTGGCTGATGCCACACTTCTCGCTTGCTTACCTCCCCCCAGGATAAGGGTTGGCAGCTGCCATTGCAGCACATAATTCAGGCACTTGCCGATCCCCTCCGGGGTCAGGTTGAATGCACACATGGGGTCCCCCGCAATTGTATCTGCTCCCAACTGCAGGACTACAGCTCCAGGGTGGAAGGCAGCATACACATCCTTCAGCACGCTGCAGAACGAAACAGGGAGGGAAGCTGCTGGACCCCCCCCCCCCCCCCCCCCCCCCCTGAGGGTCAGCCATCCCTCCCTCCAGACTCCTCCGAGGATCCTTTGCCCTGCTGCGGGGGGAGGGGACACACAAAGGCTACCTAAGAGGCTACACTAAGCATGCCGGCCATTCCAAGGGCCTGGGAAGGTGGAGTTCCCCTGTGGGCTGCCAAGTGGAATCACCCCAAAAGAGGATGAAGCAAAGTTGCCAGGGGAAAGCCCCCCCCCATGTCTCCTGACCCCGAGAGGCCCCGCAGCTGTCCAGGAAGCAGGCCACCTGCTCAGGAGCAGGCAAGGCAAGCTTGGGTTCCGGGGTAGGGAAGGGCCCATCCAGCCTTTCGGCTCTTCCCTCCCACAGGCAGCAGAGGGGCCCAGGCGAGTGGGGGCTTACGCCGCGCAGAGCTGATAGTAGGTCTCGTTCTTGATGCCATCCTGAAGGGGCACGTTGACGCTGTAGTAGCGCCCCTTCCCCAAGCCCACCTCAGTCACGTCTCCCGTTCCTGAGTAGGCAGAAAGGCTCAGGTTAGCACATGCAAAAGCGAGGGTGGGTCACCCTTTGTCGTCCCCCTCCCCACACACAAAAAAGAAGCAGAACGAGAGGCAGAATCCTGTTTGGTCAAGAAATCACTTGCCTGGGAAAAATCCCGGGCCAAACTTGTGCAGGGACACCGTCATGACTTTGGAGGTGAAGCTGAAAGCGTCCTCGACACCTGCTCAGGCGACAAAGAGCTCCGTGGGGCCTCGCCCAACTCCCGCCAGGATTCAGCAGCCAACCCGGGGGCCTTTAAGCCAGGCAGCCCTCAGTTAACAGTGGCAACTGGGATGTGACCTCCCAGCCAGAGCCATCCCAGCCTTCACAGACATGGCGTGACTGCCTCAGGGCGGCCAGAACTCCGAGGACTGGTTGCAAGTACCACTTGTTCAGAACAGCCTCTGAAGGGGTCGCTATAGGAGCCTCGGTGGCGCAGTGGTTAGAGTGCAGTACTGCAAGCTCCTCCTCCTGCGATTTGGCAGATCGAATCCCACCAGGCTCCAGGTTGACTCCTCAGCCTTCCGTCCTTCCAAGGTGGGTAAAATGATTGTTGGGGGCAACAGGCTGACTCTGTAAACCGCTTAGAGGGGGCTCTGAAGCCCTGTGTGAAAGCGGTATACAAGTCTAAGCGTTCCTGGTATTAACTGAGCACCACCTCTACCACAGGGAGTCCTCACGTTACGATCACAACTGAGCCCAAGGTTCCTGTTGCAAAGCAAGACTTTTAAGTGAGTTTTGCACCATTTTGCAATCTTTCTTGCCACAGTTCTTAAGTGAATCTGGCTTTCCCATTCACATGACCTCAGGACACAGCAACTGTCATAAATACGAGTCAGTTGCCAAGCGCCTGAATTTTGATCGCATGGCCCTGGAGACGATGCAATAGTCGTGTGAAAATGGTAATGCCGTTTTTTTCAGTGCCGTGGTAACTTTGAACGGTTACTAAATGAACTGCTGTAAGTCAATGACTACCTGCATTATGTCAGGACATAGGTAGGCCCAGTTTCTCTGAGAAGTTTTAAGGGACTGAGAAAAGCAACAGAAAAAAGTCCACAAACAGGCAAAGGAAGACGAGGGAAGGCAAGGAAAGGGCTCCAACTTCTCTGGCAACTGGAAGCCCCAGGATACAACCAGTGGATCAAAGGGGTGGAAGAAACCCTGGAGGACATCTAGACGGTCCCCAGTTGGGAAATCCCCTTCTACAGTGTCCTCAACGGCACCCCGCTCTTTGGAAGCAGGCCGTGCCAGGGTGAAGGGCTTTACCATCCAGAGTTTCATATCCTAAGGTGATTTGACTGTTTCCACTTGCAAAACCCCTTTTTTCCCCAGGCAGGCCAGGCAGCCCACCCCGGCTTCCCCCCCCCCCCGAGCTGGGGCCCTTTAGCTCCCTCTCCCTCGGTCACCTCCTGTTTTAGGGAGGGGAGGGCCGCACAAGCAGGGGGAGCCTTACCGTCCCCGTGATGCAAGTCGAGGTCGACGTAGAGGACCCGGTCAAATCTCCGGCGCAGCTGTAGGATCCCCAGCACCGCATCGTTCAGGTAGCAGAAGCCCGAAGCTTCGTCCCTGCAGGGAGACGTTGCAGCTCCGCCAGGCCGTCCGGGCGCAGAGGCAAAGGGCGCCCCCCCCCCCCCACCCCGCCCGTACTTCTTGGCGTGGTGCCAGCCGCCGGCCCAGTTGATGGCTACCCGGCCCTTCTGCTCCACCAGGCACCGCGCCGCCGTCAGGGTGCCGCCGCCGACCGCCGCCGCGTACTCGAAGACGCCCTTGCTGGCCGGGCAGTCGTAGCCTGCCGGGGAGAGGAGGAGGGGAGAGGCGAGGCGGGGGCCCAATCAGCGGGGGAGCGGGGGGCAGGCGCGGGGGGGAGCGCGTGAGGGGGTCTCCGCCCGCCGCTCACCGAGGCCGAACTCCGCGGAGTCCGGGTGGTCCTCGTTGCCCTCCTCGCTGACCTGCTGCAGGTGCTGCAGGTAGGCGTCGGTGTGGAAGGCCGCCATCTCCTCCATACAGGCGGGGCGCGGCTGGACGACCCTAGGGAGGTAAGGCTCAGGCGGGCGGGGTCCGCGGCGAGACCCCCGCCCGGCCCGGGAACCACGCCGCCGCCCGCCCGCCCGCCCTAACCTCATGTGCGGCAGCAGCGAGTAGGCTTCCACCAGCGCGTGCACCATGCTGGCCTGCGGAGAGACGGGCGCCGGCTGAGCAACTCCCGCGCGCGGGGAACGCCCCCCGTACCCCCCCCCGCTCCCGGCGCCCCACGCACCCGCCGCGGGACTTTGCTCAGGGCGTCGCATCGCGCCACGTACTCGGCGCCGTACACGTAGACCGGCGGCGGCCTCTCCATAAGCGCCGCGGGCCGAGCGAGCCTCGCGCGCGCTTCCGGACGGGCTTCCTGCCGCGTGGCGCGCCGGGAAATGAAGTCCTGCTTCACCGGGGAGCCGCCTCCCCCCGAGGGTCTTCGGCCGGCGGCCAAGCTAGAAGGTCCCGCTCGGCCTGCCGGGCCTGCCGCGCAAAGACGACGCTCAGAGACCGACTGTCACTCCAGCTCAGCGGTTTATTGAAAGCCACGCCAGGCGCCGGACGCGCAGCCCGGGGCTCCCCGCGGGGCCAGAATGTGTGGCGCAAAGCCAAAGGGGGCCCCTCCGTGGGGGGGGGGGCTCAGGAGCCCCGGAGTGCAGCGGGTGAGCCAGTGCGAGGGGGACCAGGGGTGGAGGGGGCCAAGAGGGGCCCCTCCTGAGGTTCTGCACTTTGCTGCCATCAGGCCCTTCCCCCCCAAGGGAGGTCCCCTCACCCAACCAGCCCCTGCCACCCCCACCCACCTGCAGGTTCCAGAGATCAGGCGGGTTCTGCCAGAAAAGACCCCCCACCCCAGGCACGAGTGGCCTCCCTCCCAGCAGAGAAGGGAATGGCATTGCTCTCCAGGTCCCTTCCTTCAAGGGAAGATGAGCTAAGGGAAGCCCCTCAAAGGGAGGGATCCTCCCGGGGAACAGAGTGTGGCTCCTGGTTCAGGTGGAAAGCAAAGTCCTCCAGCTTCCAGAGCCATCCAACAGCAACCCCTGGCTTCTGGTCTCAGGAGAGGGAAAGGTCTGGGCCAGGCCCCTCCGAGTCCACATCTGGCTGGCTGCAGTTCTTGAAAGCGGCTGGCTGTGCTGCTGGCTTCCAGGGTGCGGGGAATTGCACCCCAAGGGGGCTCTTGGCGCTAAGGAGCCGAGACAGCTTCACTGCGTGGTGCAGCCGCCGCTTGGGAGGAACTCGTGCACGCAGGTGGCCACAGCTCGGGAGAGGTAGGTCATGCTGCCAAACCTGCCACTTGGCGCACTGTCGTAGAGCAGCTTGCAAATGCCAGTGGCCGGGTCCCTCTCCAGCATGGGGTCATCGGCCCCCAGGATTTTCTGGTTGCAACGTAAGAGGAAGAGAGTGTCATTGCCCAGAGTCCAGGGCCAAAGAGCCCCCCCCCCCCCCCCCAGCTGGTGTCTGCCACAGGCCCTGCTCTCTTTGGCTGGGTTCATGCTCCCATCTGCTCCAGCCACAGCAGAGAGCCGGAGAGCCCAAGGACTCCAGGCTCAGCTTTCCGCCTGCTGGATGGTGAGCAGTCATGCTCCAGAGCCTTTGCTCCCCCAACAGCCGGGCCCCGCAACCGGCTCTCCTCCCTGGGCCAGGGAAGCCCCAGCAACAAGAGGCCCCAACCTGCTCTTGGTAGAACAAGTCATTTGCGACGTGCACGATCCTGTCCACAGCTACCAGGCCTCCGATGCTGGGACCCTCAGCATCTGTCAACAGCGTCAGGACCAGGATAGCCTCTACAAAGAGCTGCCGGTACTCGGGCTGAGGGACTCGGTTTAGCACGGACTCAACGTGGACAGCAAACTTGATTTCTCCAGGAGTCATCTACGGCCAAAGGAGGCCTCTCTTCAGTTGAGCAGACCCTAAACGGCCTCCAAATGGGGCTCTTGGTCAGGAGGAATGGACGGCACCCAATCCAGGGCCAAAACAGGGGAACGAGTCTTCCTCCAAGGCGAGGCGGTCTGGCCTGGGGTAGCCGATAGGGCCAGGAGGAGCAAGGGAGGAGCCTCTGCAGGCACCATGTTTGGGCAGCAGGAACCCCCTCCCCCTTAGGATCAAGGGACAGTGCAGCCATTACCTCTCTGGTGGTGGAAGAAGGGAGTACAAAGCCTTCAACGGAGAGCCCGTGGCACTGCAGGAGGAGAGGAGGGGGGCAGCAGTTACCCTCGGGAGGCCCAGGCTGCTGTTTCCACAGGCCATCGACCCAGCCTGCAGCCCCAATTCTGCCAGCTCCTGGCTCATCCTCAGGGCAGCCGACAGCGAGCCTGGAGCTGGCCACAGGAGCTGCTCAGCCTGGCTGCACCGTTGCAGAGCTCCTTTCTTTGCAGCTTCTCACGCCTGGCAGGCACTTCCACTCAGGTGGCCCACTGCTATGCTGCAGCTGAGATTGGGGGCGGGGGGGGGGGGGAGAAGACGCGTGCCACCCCCTTCACCTTCTGCAGGATCCTCCAGACCTTCTGGTAGAATCCCACTGGGACTCTGTTGAGGGCCCCATCCAGCCGCCGCCTCCGCAGCCACTGCCCTTGGCGCCCGTCCTTGGCGGAGGAATCCACCGGGGCCTGAGTGGGATCTCTTCTGCCTGGAGCCAGGAAGGATCCGGACAACTGCGGAGGAACAAGCCAGAGGGTTGGCCGTGCTCGCAGAAGCAGCTTGTGGCCAAGCAGCTCGGGAAGGAGGACTTGCCTGGGCAGGGCCCGCTCCGGCCTCCAAGGCATGCAGGGCCCCAGCCTGGAAAGAAAGAAGACCAGTTGCAGCCCTTTTAAGAGAGGGGTGGCAGCCACGGCCCCCGCACAGGGAGGAGAACGTGGCGTGAGAGCTGAGTGGACCCGTGAAGCTACGGCTGGCTCTTCTGTTAAAAGCAAAGCTGTGAGAAAAATTAGCAGGCGCTCTTTCTTCAAACGCCAGCACGGAGGAGGGGAGAGCTGTGGGCTCTGGGAAGTGAAGTCAAGCAAGCCCAGGCAGCTCCAGTCCAGGCTCGTCTGGTGGCTCCCCTGGAATCGGAAGGCAGGCAGGCAGGCAAACCCAGCTCCGTATGGAGGCCCGTGGGCTGCACCATTGCTCCCCACTTCCCCTGGCTTCTTGGGGCATGGATTCCCGCTGATTGGCCACTTCTGGGGAGGTGCTCGACAAGGAGCCCTTAAAATACAGGCAGTTTTAAGGGAGCCAGCTGCCTCCACCACCTCCAGATCTGGCTGGAAAGGGGAGCTGAGCCAAGGGGCTTCCGCTGGTTTTGCCTTCTTCTCTGGACCCGATGCCAGGGAAGCCCTGTCCAATCAAAGCCAGCCCACTCCTGCTCCCTTCCTTCCGCCAGAAGTAGCAGCTGCATTTGCAACACCAACCCCATCCCACTCAAGACCCTCTGTGGCTCCTGCAGGCCCAGGTACCCCTTGTGGGAAGGGGAGAGAGCCACGAGTCAGCCGCCCTTTGACAGGAGCACAGGGGGGTTCACCTGAATCTTGGACAAAGACCGCCTACTTCTATCCAGTTGCTAGAAGAGAAAAAAGGTGTTAAGATGTGGAGAGGGAGTTGCTCTCCCTGGCACTAGCACCCCCACCCCACCCCCTGCCCTCCCGATGCAGAAGCCCAGCCCACCTGGAAGAAAGGGGCAAATTTTCCCGGGCCGGAGAGTGTTACTAGAGGAGTCAGCCAGGGCAGTTGTAGCCTGCCCCAACCATTCCAGTTCTGCCGGCCACCTTGAGCTCCCCTCCCTTTGGTTGCCCCACAAGGGAAGGAAGCCCCCGTGCCCGTCTGGGATTCAGCAGAGCAGCTGTGTCTGCCAGGGTGGAGAGACCTGCAACTTCTCCAGAAATTCCCCTTTGCCAGTCCCAGTGGGACATACGCTTACCCTCCCCTGCCTTGGCAAGGCCAGGCAGGAGCAGCCCACCTGTTTGATCTCACTCTTGAGCTTAACGATGCCAGCACGCTCCGACTTCGTGGCTCCCACAGCCCCAAACTCCCGGATGGAAACCGCTGGGGTCAAGGTGGAATCCGTAGCCCGCACTGCAGGAACATCAGGCCCCAAGACTCAGAACGCCAGCCTGGGTTCCTGGAGCTCCTTCAGCAGGTGAGTTCAGGTAGCTGCGCTCCAAGTCCCGGGATTCCCGAGCTGGTTGCCTCCGTTTGGGCTGGCTCTCTCGCTCCCCCCCCCCCCCCCCCCCCCCCTCCCCCCCGTGTGGGGGCCCCCCCCCCCCCCCCCCCCCCCCGCCAGCCCCCACCTGAGGCAAGTGGCTCACCGCTTCGCTCCACACCGAATTCTTTGCCACTGAGGATGTGATGAAGAAGGTTCTTCATATGGGAAGGGCTGAGGCTCATCAGGCTTTCGGCAGCTTCTTCGCCTGGAGCCAAAGGAAGGGGAAAGGTGTCTCTCACTCCCAGCCCTCCCCCCCGAAAGGCCCCCGCTGCAGCCCCCCAAGGAAGCCGGTCCCACTCACCCGAGCAGCAGAGCGACTGGGCCAGCTCCATCGCCATCACCTGAATGATCAGCCCGATGCGCAGGCGGAACATCTCTGCAAAGAGGGCCGGCTGCGTCCGGATGTACATAGCGAGGTAGACCATGATCTCCTGCAGAGAGAGGAAGGGGCAGCCCTTGGCAGGCCCGGCCACGGCGGGGCCCCGGAGAAACGCCCCTCGTGGCTTACCTGCGTCAGGATGCAGAGGCTCATGTTCTTCTCGCTGGCCTCGTCTATCAGCTGGGTGAGCTCCTCGTAGGGCAGGGGGCTGTGGGGGTGGCAGGACCAGGGATTGCGAGGAGCCCACGGAGGACCAAGCCCCACCTGCAGCCCCCCCCCCCCGGCAGCGGAGCAACCCACCGCCCAGCCTGGTTCTCCTTTCCTGCCTCTCCCCTGAAGGGCTGGGAAGGAGTCGGGCGATGCACCTTGCCCACCTGTGGAGTCTCCCGGAGGCTGCCGCAGGCCATTGTGGGAAAGCTTGGCCTAGCGGGGCTGAGCCACACATGACTTGCTCTCCTCCAGGGAAAGGCTCAGGGTGGGAGGCGCTGGCGGGGAATTGCCCACCGCCAATGGCTACGTTCCACAACTACAGAATTGTAACGAACGGCCACTAGAACGATACATTTCCTTCCTTCCTTCCTTCCTTCCTTCCTTCCTTCCTTCCTTCCTTCCTTCCTTCCTTCCTTCCTTCCTTCCTTCCTTCCTTCCTTCCTTCTCTCTGTTCTGCAGTAACCAAAGCCATCTACCCAGCACCTCCCATCCGCCCGGGACTCACGCCGAGATGGTCTTCTCTCGAGGCTCTGGGGGCAGCCCCACCGTCAGGTGCTTCTGGTGTGACAAGAGGTCCGTGCAGGCCTAGAGGGAGCAGCTCGTCAAGAGGGCAGGAGGCTCCA